GTTTGGTCTTTTATATGTACAAGAACTCCTCATTGTATTGCACACCGGACATTGTGTAGTCTTTACTTTAAGTTGGCAAACAATCCTCAGGACTACCTCCAAGATGACAGCTTCCCAGGGTTAAATACCAGGTACATGCGATTAGCTGAACCCGCCACTTGAAAGAAACGTGAAACATCCTCGCAGACCAGAAAGAAGCCTAGCCGCCTTCAACACAAGCACTGAAGACTGAGGACCTGCAAACACAAATCTGCCCGTTTAAATTCATAGATAGAGATCTGAAGATTGAATAGCTCAAGCTAAGAGTAGTTTCACATGGGAATGGGAATAGTTGTTCTCATTTAACAATATTCTTGTCAAGTCTAGTTTGAAAAATAAAAACTGTCTGCTGTGATGTGTGTATCTAGTGAATTAACCTTACTGAACCTGCTTATCCAGTCCTAACTAGTTTTAGTTTGAGAGGTTTATCGAATATTATACCTTAAAGTGTTTTTTATGCTTCACAGCAGAATTTAGGGCTACGTAATCATTGTTTTGAACGGCAGATGGTGAGGTCTTATTATTTTTCACTTTGCACTGCCATGCTGACTGCAGACTGTAGTGTTTAGGAGGTCGCCTGACAGACGTCCAAAGCTGCTTGTTGACTGTGGCTGTCTTTGTGTCGATATTTCATGTTCTTCTGCTGCCTCCATCAGTTTTCTCAGAGCATGTTCATTCTTTATTCTGAAGTTGTCGTGACTGTGAGTGCGTATGTTTCTGTGTCCCTGTGCATTTGTTAACTCTATTATAGACTGACCACGTACCCAGAATTTACCCGACCTCTCTCTTAATGGCTTGAGCCCCCTCGCATTGGGTAAGTGGTTAACAAAGTGGATGGATGGATGATTCTGTCACTGCAAACGTTCTCTGTGAGACATTTGAGTAGAATGTATTAGTAACACTTACACAATTACTGTATTTAAAATAGCAGCTACAGCTGAGGAATAACAAATGGCATGGCACCACATCCATAATGAGTTGATTGATTAAAATAAGAGTCGTAAAGAAAGGAGGAGTCTGGTTTTCATATTTCAGATTTATTGGTTTGATGCATTAGTTGGGATTGGACGACACAGACTGAATTTTAAAAGAAATAGCCGACCTCTGCGGAGAAAATGGAGTAATATATTTGATGATCATTTCAAGAACATAAACTCGGGCTGAGACATATTGGCTTGTAAGTTTCAGGCGTTTCTAAGAGTCTCGTCATTTGATTTACAGATCTGTGATGAGTCTGCAGTCCTTACAAACGACACATTGTTTTAATATATGACCTCTACCAGGCTGAAATCACTGGACATGCTCAAAATCACTGAGCACTTATTGTAATTGATCATTTCCACAAACCTCCCATATTTTTTGCTATCCAACTTCTAGATAAAAAAAACAAAACACTTTTTTTTATATGAATGCTATGAACCCGATTGCTTGCTTTCACTGTTAAGTTTTCCACTTTATTCAACATAACCAGTAAAAATACACAGAATATTTAGATGGTATTAATGAGCCATAGCCCCACATCTTACTGCATCATGAGATTTTATTAAAATATAAACTAAACACTTGTAATATTATTAAAATTGACCCTGTGGTTATTGATCTTCTTTGTGTTTTTCTACCACACACCACCGCTGTCGTCCAGTCTTATTTACTGCCCTATTTTTTGTGATCATTTCATTTATACATGAATATTTGGAAAAATGCAGAGACATTGAAATAGATATCCAGATAGCTGAGGCAGACAGTGCACACAAGACTCCAAGGTGCTTGGCACAACCATGGACAGAAGATGCACTGCATGGTTAGATCAAGCACAATGGAGTCATGAGCAACGGCAAAAAAAAAGTCCAACAGATATTGCACAGATGCAACTCTGCACAAATTGACCAAGCAACGTGCCGTATCGACCAGGTTTTTGTGCAAATGTTAAGTAGCAGGTTTTATTTTTTTCCTGAAAAAAGACACAGCATTGTTAGAATATTTTATGGGTTTTGCTGAAGGACGGTCCTGCAGTCGGAGCTGTCGGCAATGCAAAATTTCAGAAAAATCCAAAAAGTGTGAGAGAAGTGATCTGATCTCATGGGGATGTTTAAAAAAAGAAAGAAAGAAAGAAAGAAAGAAAAGAAATGCTACTGGTTGGTCTACGATCAAAAAAAGATGAAGAGACTTGTAGCTAGGAAGAGCTGCAGAATTAAAAAGAGCAAAAGATTACTCACAGGTCATGGTCACTGCGGGAAAAAAGGGCTACACCCTTCCTGCGCACGAACTGCGTCAAACCCCACCCTCTCGCCCTTCACGCCCAACTCTAACAGAGGAAAAAAGTCACCATTTGATCACTTTTCACTCTTTTAAAACTCAAATCTCAAACATTTTTAAGAAAGGACCTGCAGCAGGCCTGAAAAATGTTGGCTTGATTAAATTTGTTTCCTCATTGGGCATTCCCAAAGTGATCAATGGAAACAGAGTTTGGGTAATTCATCTGTGATCTTATTAGAGTCGCAAGATCTCATAGAGTCCAAGTCCCTGAAATTTTAGTAGTTATTGACTAAAAACAAACCATGCTCCCTGGACACTATTGAATTAAGAATTAGAGGTATAGCTACTTCTCTGTAGTCCATCTGGGGTGCATCTGCCATCTACTAAGAGCAAAGAAAAACCACTCCTAACATTTTAGTCTTAACTATGTTAAGTGTTCCTGTGTTGTGATACCATCAGGCTAAGAGAGCTTCTTTTCCAAAAGGTTTGACAATCTTGTTACCTTCCCTTGTGTCTCTTTCTAGCTCCCTGAGGACATTTTACTACAATGAAAAGGCACGGCACAATAATCAACTTACAAGGCTCAGCAAGTGAAACCACTTTGTGTGATGAAATTACACCATAATGCATATTAATGCACCAAACAGGAAAAAAGCTGCCTTTGGAAGTGACCAAATGGCACGAAAATTGGAGTACTTTGGGTGAAGATGGTGGGCGGCGGTGATGAAACAGACTTTTGTTTTTCAGAACAATGAGGATGTTTGAAAGGGATGCAGCGCAGCTGATGGGATGGTTTAATGGGTTTTATGCACAGATGATGATTGTGATACATGATTACGCTTACTTACCTTCTATTTTCCTGTCTTCTTCTGGAAACCAACACGGCTTAAAATACTAAGAGAAGTATTTGAAAAAAGTGCTTTCTGAGCTAAAGCAACAAAACCTAAAGCAACTGTTCTTCAAACCTGACCAGCACAGTATCACTGAAAACAGTTGGTCTCAACCTACTCGGTGTTTAACGGACAACTTTCCAGCTGCTTTCGTTGGAAAGTCTCCTCTACACATTGTCTTTCCAAGAAACTCACCTTTCCATTCGCTAGCCTCAAAGCAAGCGTAAGGCGCAGGTGGTTGAGGGGTGGTGAAGACCGCTGGGTGCTCTGAGCTGTGTCTTGGGGTCTTCCAGCTTGCTCTACTGGAGACAGACTGTCCTGACTGCGTCCTCAGCACCCTTCAAGTCCCCAACTCCTGCCCCTCCTTCAAGCTAGGAGGGGTTGGGGATGTTCTCTTGGGATAGGTGCACTGGCAAGGAGGACTTGGTCAGGCTGGGATTGGATGTAGGTTGGGGAGTCTGAATGGGGGGGCGCCGGTTCCGCATTTCATAAATATTAATACAGAGTCCTCTCTCTCCAAATGGGTAGATTCTTTAATTTTGTTAGAGGGGGAAGTGCTTTATTCACTTAATGGCTTTTATTAGTGCCCAGTGTTCAACTCTTTCATTAGCTAAAGTGCTGCTATAATTTACAGGGTAAAAGGGGGTGGGGAAGAGGCGGTGTCTGGGAAGGGTTGATCCTGCTGCTGCTGCTGGACAGGCAGGCTTCACCTTCAACCACTGCAGCTTTTACTAAAAAGTGGCTTTTGGGCTAAAAGAACTGGAGTCAAAAGATATCAAATACACTCCATGAACCGTTATACTGTCGGTCATGCTGTCTCACTTTCACATCTGTTTTTTTTCCTAAACACATCTGTGCAAATCTAAAGTGTTAAGGATGATCCCGAATTAGACACTGTAACCAATTTATTTTAGAAAAAAGCACAATGTTGATGACACTTCTAACAAATAAGTGGCTTTTTACCTATGAGCAGAGAAAGATTTTGTGGAAACATGCAGTGGATTTCTCTCGCTGGCAAACTGGAATCATTTTTCTTTGCGGTTCCATATCATATTAATTTAGTAAATGAAGATAAAAACATGCATTTTTTTGCAATACTATATCCAATATATGATAAAATGCCTGCATTTGATGTATACATATTAAATATACTGTAAGGGTCTCCTATTTAGCTTGGCAACATCTTTGCATGGGTTTTGCACACACGCTTGATAATTAAAAAACAAAACATGAGTATCTTTCATGTTTGGACTGCTTGATTTCACTCTTCAAATTTCTAATCCAGCCATATTATACCACAGTTTACATGCTTGGTGTCATCCATCGCATTCATTCATTAGCTTCTGGTACTCGCACTCCGAGTGGTCTTGTTGTAACATACGGACATTAAATAACACCAACTTCTAAGAGTGCACCCAGTGCCAATAAAAAGCAGCTTTATTTTGCTCTGTGGAGTTTGGCTACTTGTGAACATCCCAACAACCCTCAGACTGCATCTGAGTGAATGAACTTATTAACCTGAGTGGCCGTCCCCACCAGAGAGCGGGGGAGTGGGTGGGCCACCAGTTTGAATAACTATCCCCATCATCAATGTCATATAAATCTCTTTCCCCCCCTCCCCCCTCTAAGCCACAGTTAAATGTTAGCCATAATGCTGGCTGCGGGTACGCATCTGCAACATTTCTGTCGGATTTTTCCTAAAAAACCAAATTTAGCACAACACAGAACACTCCTGGTTACACTTTTTGATAAAGTAATAAATCTATTATCTGAATAAAAGCACAGAATAATAAAAAGCATAAAATAACAGACACATTGAGATTCCACTGTGATTTTATTGTACAGTTCTTTTAGGAGTCAATGGAAGCCTTAACCAATATTCAATATGAACTATTCATGGTGTTAAGTACTGTGTGTTACTTTAAATATGACACTTTAACCTGCCATTGTTTTAAATCAATGAAAGCAAAAACAACAGATGCTGTAATGACAGACATGTCCGGTAGTTTATTGAGCAGCTGTACAGAACACTTTGTGATAACATGGGTCATGCAGTGAGCATTAAGAATCCTTTTTTTTTTTTACTTTTTCACCAGCTGGATAACATCTTCATCCTCCATCACATGGTCCTTGCCCACCTTTTGAGGGTTGTGCTTTACAGAGGAGCCCCAAACAAGTGCACTGAAAGAAAGAGTTAAGAAAAGAAAAAAAAAAAAAAAAGAGTTTGATCCTGGTTGACTGATGATTCGTTCAAGAGTGTGAAAAGAAAAGATATCAGGCCATTATAAAGTAGCCCGACAAATCATTCTTTGCTACAGCTCTATTATAAAGGAACCTACTGGGTATGTGACATCCTTAAGGAGCAAAAGCTTCCATGTGTCACAGTTTTACCCGTCCGTTCCCTTGAGGATGGCTAATGCTCAGCAGCACTAACATAATGAATGATTGACGATGTTATCTTGCCAGGGCCATTTAGAGATGGTGGTGCAACACGCGGTCACATGTCTAAAAATCAAACGTTCCAGTGATGGCAACATTTAGTCTGGTAAATGTTGCCATTAAGGGAGGTGATAGAGTCATGAGAAAAAGAATGTCCACCCAGTTTTAGTTTTAACGCATAAAAACACATTAAGAATAATCTGATCAACACCACACTCTAAAATCACTTACATATAACCTCAGATGACAAAAATATTTTTAAAATATTAGCATTTTAGCTAAGGCAACTATACTCACTACTTAAATTCTTTGATGAGGTTTTTGTGAATCTTCATGCAGAAATCCTCCACTGAAGTTCGGTCATTGGGGAGCACAACAGGAGACGTGTAATCAGGAAGCTGGCCTTTGGGTTTGGTGTAGCTGTAAGTAAACGTATCATCTCAGTAACTTTTTCCAGTTTGAACACACAAACACTTCAATTTTCCAAAGACTTGCTTTAAATCTATAACTGACTTTCGCCGCATTCACAGAATCTTTTGCAGGTTGTATTGATGGAAATTCTTACATGCGCACAAGCCTTAAGTAGTCCCACATCCTCTCCAGCAGGTCATCAAAGTTCCAGCGGTGGTGGGCTGAGATGGGCACAGTGTGGGGCACTTTGTAGATGATGTCGAGCTCTTCAATGGAGATCTGGTCGATTTTGTTGAGCACATAAATGCATGGGATGTAGACGCTGTTGGGACAGGGACAGAGTCTGTAAGTGAAACCACTACATACTCAGTTATACTAAATAATCCAAGAAATAAAATGGTGAATAAATGAGTCTATATTTTGGTGCAGCATGAAGCCTTCTACTACATTTACTTGTTAACTAACATGTCAGCTGATACGCAAATGTTAGATATTACAACTAATGCCATTTGCCTAGCACAGGGTGCACGCGGTCTCAAACAGAAGATTTACAAATCAATTACTTTTGGCAGAATAACTCCTAATGAATATCATTATAAATTCATAGAGCTTGCAGTAAAAGTAAGATCAGGTGACCTTGAACTATCCCTCGGTGTTGCTGCTGTTGGCTCAGAATAATGCACGACCTCCCATAATGCATTTGCCTCTTTCACTCCTCTTGCACTTACATGCGACTAGAGTAAGTCCTTTTTTTGCACTCTGTCACAGTTTGTGCTTTGCCATCTCTGTGCTTTTCCCTTTCCCCTCACAGCAGATGGCTGCTCCACCCTGAGCCGCGTTCTGCCAGAAGCCTCTTCCTGTTGAAAATGAGTTTTTCTTCCTACTGATGCCAAGTTTGTGTTCATAAGGAAATCGCTGAATCACTGGGGTTCGTCTATAATGTTGTCTTTAGCTTAAAATATTAAGTGTCTTGAGACCATTGTGATGATTTGGTGCTACATAAATAAAACTGAACTGCATTGTCAACTATACACTCTAGTATACTCTGAGTCACTGACATGCTCTACTGTTTCTACTACATTTAGTAAGACATTTAATTCCTTTATTCTGCTTGTTGATTTTGAGATATTTTGTTTTTCATATAAAGCTTAATATTTTCATTTAAATGTAAACTTAATTTATTGTATTTATTTTTTAACTTCAAATTACTTTCTGCCTTATTTCTTTTGACATATCTTATTTTATCGATCTATATACTGTTTAAGCACTACTGCCTGATGTGGAGTTTACACGCCTGGGTTCTCGCTGTACTTCCTTCCAGTCCAAAGACATGCAGTTAGTGGGTTTACGTTAATTGGTGATTGCAAATTGGCTGTCTGTGTCGGTGTGAATCGTTGTCTGTTTCTCCGCGTTAGTCCTGCCACAGACTGGTGTTTTATCCAGGGTGTACCCCACCTCTCTATGGTAGCTGTGATAGCCTCGAACCCTCTGCTACCCTGAATTGGATAAATGGAAGAGAATGGCTGGATGGATGGAATAAATAATGTATATTTCATTCAATTGTATAACAGGTGGTTACAGTTTCCACTGTGTCCATTTTCCTCCCAAAGTTCAGTAATTTTTTGAAGGAAAAAGTGTTTACTTTTCACAGGAACATTTGACTTTATTTTTTTTAGATGTATATTAAGTAATTTTAATCATGTTTAAAATATGTAGTGCTACATTTCCTTTTGTTAAGACACCTCTCTTCAAATAAATACTGTAAGTATACAGGCAAGGAGGGGGCCCCACCTAGTGCTTTATGCAATTACAGTTAATAGGCCCATAGGCTTCTGAATTATGAGAATTTTTAAAAATATTTTGCCCTTATGAAACATCACAGTGGATTTTAACTCAATTAAATGTGAATGAAAGCCAGAATTTCATCATTAATTCAAGGGATTTTCACAAAAAACCCTTCTCTGCTCAGGTTCAGCCAAATGCTGCAAAACTGATCAGACAGAGCTTTGCAGTGCAAATGGATGATGACCCAAAGCATACTGCAAAAGCAATGACGAGTTTCTCAAGGGAAAGAAATGAGACATTCTTCAGTGGCCAAGTCACCTGATCTCAAATCAGTAGAGCAGCTTTTCAGTTATTAAATACAAAAGTGAGGGCAGAGAGACCCACAAACAAGCAGCAGCTGAAGGCAGCTGTGGTAAAAGCCTAGTGGAGCATCTCATGGGAGGAAACAACATCTTGTGATGTCCAAGGGTGACTTCAAGCACTCACTGCAAGAATTACAAAAAAAAGTCCTTGTATTTAAAATTATGTTTTTCCAATTACTTTTCAGGATTGTTTAGGATTTACAGCATTAAGAAATGCTGTAAATCCTAAACATGTAATGCATTTTTTGGCCAAATCCCTTACAATAAAGCTGACAATAAGTCCGGACTTCAGACTTTGATTGGCCAGTCTTAAGATCCACATGGGGGTGTACAGGATTTAGACATTATTTAAAAAATATTCTATAGACATAGTGTTTGATAAATTTGTTTCCTTGCAGAAATTGTAGTTTTTATTTTATTGTATTGTGGTCTTTCTCCTAGTTGCTTTTTTCAGAGGAGGGACCATGCTCAACTCCACATATCTCTGATCCCATATTTGTTGACTTCTTATATTAAGATAAAAACCTTTGAGTCATCTAAGTAAGATTAAAACAGGAGTTCTCCCAGATGCTGCCTAGCACATAAACAGCATATTTAAATCCATCTGTAGTGGGAATGATGGGAGTGTTAAATAGGATTTCAGCCCGGCAGGCCACACCCACTGAGAATGACTAAGAAAGGCCCATTGTGACACTTCAGCAGCTCACCGATTTCCCTCCACCACATCGATGAGGTCATCAGCTGTGGAGTCACTGCGCAGAGTGATGTCGGCGTTGTGGATCTTGTACTCTGCCAAGATGCTCTTAACTGTTTCAGCGTCAAGCTCACTCTGTGCACACTGGAGAGAGAAAGAGAGAGTGCATGTGGATGGATGACTTAAAGTAACACAAAAAAGCAAGAAAATAGTCATTAAAAAAGTCACAATTTAAAGATCTGTATTAATCAATTATTACATATTAGAGTCAGCAATACAATAAAAATCCATGTGTTCTAATCCATGTGGCATCACTACCCATTTCTGCATCTAAATGCTCTGCTGAATTAATAAAAGTGGCTGCTCTCCAAGGTGTTACAATAAACTGCAAAATATGAAAAACATTCAGCTCTGGACATAAACGAAAAAGGGAAAATTAAATACCACCCATGTTTGTTTGATTAGAGAAAATGGGATAGCTGACATTCTGCTACCTCATGATGAGCTACAGAACTACTGTTAGGCTAACATTAGCGCAGGTAAGCTGTAGCAAGAGGGTTAAACTGTTAGACACAAATGCCGGACAGGAGGATAAACACAAATAAAGGACAAAACATCAAAATGTCTGGGACTGTGAGATTTTAAAAACTTAGCTTGGAGAACACATTACACTTGAATGTAGAGGCTTTAACTTTAATGACAAGTAAATGATGTTTTAAGTATCAGTGTAATTGTTCACTTGAGTTTTTAATTCTAAAGTGAAAACTGTAAGTGCGAAGTTTCATTTAGTGTGTTTATTATATGAGACGTACCGTAGCGGTAAAGTTGATGCCTCCTTTGTCCTTTTTCTTGAAACCAATGTTTGGTGGTTGCTTGTTAAGCCGAATGCCAAAGCCTTCCAGCTCATGTTCTATTAGCTTCTTATGAAGAAGAGGCTTCAACACATCGAGCACTATCAGAATCAGATTGCAGGTTCGAGCCACTGTGAGAGAGCGGAAAAAGAAACAATAACATCAGTCAGAAATGTGTAAAAAGAAATCCCAGTTGAAGTACACCTGTTCAGCTGCTCGTTAATGCAAATATGAAATCAACCAATCACAAGGCAATATTTAGACATATAGCCAGGTAGGTCATATGGGTCAAGACGACTTGCTGAAGTTCTAACTTGAGCTTCAGAATGGGGATTTAAGTGACTTTGGTTTTTGATGCAGGACGAGCTGGTCTGCATTTCGGAAAAAGCTTTCAGGATCAACAGAATTGTCTGAAAAAGGGAAAATATCCAGAGAGTGCTGTGAGGAGTGCTTTTTATGGAAACCAAATGATCACTCCATAAACACATGGCACAATACAGGAGGGAAAGCTCAACAGAACAAAACAAATGAACTTAAAGGAGAAAGCACATTTTTTGAGGATGCCAGTGTTCACATTTTGGACCACGAACACAGACGGTTTGAGAGACGAGTAAAGAAGTCCATCTACATCCACTGTGAATGTCTGTCACTAAACAGAGGTGGTGGGTGTGACACGAGTTATCAGCCACCTACAATGCAAATTTGAGAAACTTTCCCGAGCATTTCCACACCCACTCTCACCTTGCCTCAGGTGACCTCGATAGCTCATATGAGGTGCAAGAAATGTTTTCACAAACCTAAAGAAATCTGGTTACCTTCTTTTCAAGCACTTAAGACTACCATGACCTGTAAAATCTACATAGACCACTGAGCACTATTTAAAATGTCACAGCCTACCTAGGTATTGTTGCAGCAGGATAGCACACCATGTCACAAAGCATCTTAAAACAGATTTTGTAAACATGACATTAAGTTGTCAGCAGCTGATAAATCTGCAGCAACTGTGTCACGTTATCATGTAAATATCTGAGGAATGTTTCCAGCACCTTGTTGAATCTGTGCCACATAGAATGAAAGCAGTTCTAATGGAAGTACCACAACCTGGTACAATGAAAGCGTAACTAATAAATTGTCCAGTGAGTGGATAAAGCTGAGGTTCACTGCCTGGCCATAATGGTCAAAAGAAATCTTTGAGCAGGCTTGCACTTTTTGATGCCAGAGAAAAATGTAACAGTAATGAAGAGGCTCATGAAAGGAAGAGCTTAAAACACCAAGACTTTATTCAAGAGTGTAGAGTGAAAGGGTGGCAAGTATGTCTGTTTCCTCTAGAAGTGGGGTGTGGAAGGTTCCCAGTACAGTCACTGTAGATGGCACTCACTACACTCAGAGTTTCAGAAAATGAGCGGAAGACAGCTGTATGCAGGATGGTGGAAGCAGCAGAAAGAGCCTCTTATGGGCTCTGGTGTAAAAGGGAGGTGTAGGGTTGGAAGTGTGGAGGTGGTGGGCAGTGATTTGGCCATCGCTGCTGACACGCCAGATGGAGGGTGTTGCAGTTAAGGGTTGAAACGCCAGGTTAAGCCTGGGCATGACATCAGCTCCAGGCCAAAGGCCACAGTCAATCTGTAGAGCATCAGCAGTTGTGTTTTAAGCAAACTTTAGATAAAGACGTGAAACATTGTCTCACTGAAAATCATTGATTTTAGTGTTCTCGCATCTACAAATACAACATCTTATGATTTAATTTGTCTATAAATATATACAGGAGAAAGCTAAATTCTAGTAGCACTATTAGTAGTGCTGCCATTAGGGCTGGGCCATATCATACCGTTCACAGTAATACCGGTATAATGTTGGGCAACGATAAGAAAATGAAATCTCGCGATAGAATATGGGTAAAACGCGCATGTGCAGTGCCTTTGTTTTCATACGCACATGGCGGAAAAAGCATGGCGGCGACGGAGAATGAGAAGGGCGAAAGCGGATCGTTGAATGAAACGGATGAACCAGAATTGGTTTGTAAAAATGCTGCAACTTCAGTGGTGTGGAACTGGTTTAGCTTTTGTCTGTCAGATACACAACAAAGCACTATTTTTGGTAGAGCATGCTAGCCGGCCGTCGTTATTACCATGTTTTTTGGAAAATGCGGCACCCCTAAAATCAATCCTTTGATTTTTCTGAAAATCGACAGTGCCCCTTATAATCCTGTGTGCCTTATGTATGAATTCTGGTTGTGTTTACTGACCCATCCATCCTCATCCGCTTTGTCCGGGGCCGGGTCGCGGGGGCAGCAGCCTAAGCAAAGAGGCCCAGACCTCCCTCTCCCCAGCCACCTCCTCCAGCTTATCCGGGGGAATACCAAGGCGTTCCCAGGCCAGCCGAGAGATATAATCTCTCCAGCGTGTCCTGGGTCTGCCCCGGGGCCTCCTCCCGGTGGGACATGCCTGGAACACCTCACCCAGGACGCGCCCAGGGGGCATCCTTGTCAGATGCCCGAACCACCTTAGCTGGCTCCTTTCGATGTGGAGCAGCAGCTGCTCTACTCTGAGCCCCTCACGGATGGCCGAACTTCTCACCCTATCTCTAAGGGAGAGGCCAGCCACCCTTCGGAGGAAGCTCATTTCTGCCACTTGTATCCGTGATCTCGTTCTTTCGGTCACTACCCACAGCTCGTGGCCATAGGTGAGGGTAGGGACGTAGACCGACCGGTAAATTGAGAGCTTCGCTTTTACACTCAGCTCCCTCTTCACCACGACGGACCGGTGCAGCGTCCGCATTACTGCAGCTGCAGCCCCAATCCGTCTGTCGATCTCCGGCTCCCTTCTCCCATCACTCGCGAACAAGACCCCGAGATACTTGAACTCCTCCACTTGGGGCAGGAACTCATCCCCGACCCGGAGTGGGCACTCCACCCTTTTCCGGCTGAGAACCATGGCCTCAGATCTGGAGGTGCTGATCCTCATTCCCGCTGCTTCACACTCGGCTGCGAACCGTTCCAGTGCGAGCTGGAGGCCCTCACCCGATGAAGCCAATGGTTGTGTTTACTGACCTCGAAACGATTTTATGTCGTACACGGCGCTTGAAAATCTGTCAAATGTTTTAGTATGACTTTGCTAAGCTACAAACCCACAGCACTTGATGGATTGTCGGAGCATTACGGCTATCGTAGGCAGGCGCCTCGCTGAGTGATACGTACTGTGCTTCAGCATAATATTACGGTATTGTGTGTGTATAACCTCTTAAGTTTAGTGGATATTATACATGGTTATGCTGAGGATATGTCGGCCAATTTCCACTGGAAATGCCTTTTGGTTTAACTGTCAGCAAGGAATTTGCATTTGCACTGTTAAATTTTTATAGAACTTTAATGCACATAAAAAAACAGCTGCTTGTTTAAGTGAAAATACATTGATGGTTTTTTTTCCACTAATAAAGTTGTGGAGTTGTAAAGTATTTTGTCTAGTGTCAATTATATCGTCAGTTATATCGTTATCGCAAATTTTCAAATGTATATCGTGATAAATATTTTTGGTCATATTGCCCTGCTCTAACTGCCATTGTATTTCCCTCCAAGCAGATTCCACTGTAATCAAATCATTACCTGCGATGACCTGTCGGCCTCTGCCCTTTCCATCTTTGGCGCCCTCAATGATTCCTGGGAGATCCAGGAGCTAAAAAGGACGAAGTCAGAAAAAGAAAAATATAAGCAAATAACTTAAACCTTATCACAGCATGAACAATATTCCAGATTTTGAAGAAAGCAGAAACTCTTGTACCTGAATTTTAGCACCTTTATACCGAATGACTCCAGGTACTGTTGTTAGAGTGGTGAACTCGTAGGCAGCAACCTCAGAGTATACACCTGCAAGGTTACTTAGCAGTGTAGACTTTCCTACAGAAGGAAAGCCAACAAAGCCGACACGAGCGTCACCGGTTTTCGCTACATCAAAACCTAAAAGTGGGAGGAAACACATGAAAAAAAATCAAATATGCATTAGCATTCTTTGCCGGGCAAAAATAAAGAAATATTCAAAACAAAATTTTGGTAACATCATTAGGACACAAGTATCCTGATCTCACCTTCTCCTGTCCCACCACCGCTGCCTCCTTTAGGTGTGATGAGTTCCCTTCTGAGTTTGGCAAGACGTGCTTTGAGCAGACCCAAGTGGTGAGCTGTGGCCTTGTTCTTCTGCGTCCTGGCCATCTACAGTGAACAATAATACCAGTCTGCATGAGAACTTTCTAAAAAACATTAAGTAAGCAGTTTTTACTGACTGCACTCAGGTACAGTCATGGTGAAACTTTAAACTTTGAATTGTAAAGGATAAGTCTATTCTGTTTTATTTTGCCCATCTGGATTTACTGTAATGTCAGTGCAGTAACAACACAGTAACAACACTATAAACCTGGTCCCATTCTCTCATGTTGTACAGTTTTTACTTTATGCCAACTTAAATGCAAGAGTTTCTTACATTTGACATGCAACTTTAACTCAAACTTACATACTTGAATGATCATAGTTAAGGCAAAGAGTTTTTTTTAACCCTAAATTAACAGATACTCATTCATTTTATTTAATAATCCTAGTTTTTCTGTCCATTTGATAAATAATACAGTTTAAAGCATTTAATGTGGGAGGAAACATTTTTAATAGGCAGAAAAGTCCTGGCCAAGATCAACACAACTGTGTTTCTCTGCACATTAAAATGTACACCTAGTGCTGGTCTCAAGTTAAAGATAAATGGGTAGGTTGTGACAGGGAGGGCGTCCGGTGTAAAGTCTTTGCCAAATCAAACACGTTAGCTAGAAATGTTACTAGTGACTTACAAGAACCGCTACCGGTACAACTGACCAGCAGGGTGGCTGCTAATGGCCAAAGACTGAGAAAGAATAGTAGGGGAAGGCATGTTTGGAGGCAGTAAAATAGAAGGCAAGATTTTAAATGTAGGAATTATGGCTGGTAAAGTGAGAGAAATGGCTAACAAAGGAAAGGATGTTCAAGATGGATCTGCCAGGCAGGGAGATAAGAGGACGACCACAGAGAAGACCGATGAAAGCAATGATCTGCTGTGGCAACCCTTAAAGAAGACAGTGAAACAAGTAGTCTTTGCACTGCAACCTGGAGAGTTTCCTTTTACTGCCTCTGATAATACAGTAAGGTTTCCATTAAAAACTAGAAAAGGCATTTTCTGAAGAAACTGCAGCGTGAATGCCGATAGCTGAATGTTTTGAGCTGAAATGAAACAATTGCTGAATGTTAAGCTAAAGTTAAGTTTAAACTAAACTAAAAACTTAAACAAAAACATTCAGTGTAATTTAAAGCAAGTACCCCTGCTGGTACGAACTCTTATGTTCAAATTTGAGGCTTTCTCAATACAACAACAGACGGCACACCATACAAAGATCATAATATATGGATACGTGTGAATTAAAAGACAACACTGTCGTTTTAAGTTAACTTGTATTGAACAGTTAACGTGTACACATTATTTAAAGGCGAACTTGTTACTTGTTACCACCATCAACCTGCACTAGCACGTCCGTTACACTGTCTTATATGATTAGTAATGGATTCACAAGTTCACTGACTGGGTAAAGCAACTTTATATGCACTTTGTGGCCAAAAGAAAAAATGTGAGTTAGAAATATTAAGAGCAAAACAAAGCCCGGCTGTAATATTTTTGCTAACGCTAACAGCTTGTGGCTAGCTTAAACGTGACAGTCAGCGGGTTAGCCCGCCCGCTGTTTCCATCTTACCTCATTTTCAATTTCTGCTATTTTGGCGAGTATACTCATGGTGACGGTGTTCCCCGTGTAAAATTCACGTTACCGATTGAAACTGAAAAGGTTTTACATGGAAGTTGGCAAAGTTATTGGGGTACTTTAGCATGCACACCACACGAACGCGGTGGTGCGGCGTTTCCAGGGAAATCTCGCGAGAACCCGGACAGAGGCGGGGCGTGATACCCGGTGCGTTGACCAATGACAGCCCGCGTTCACTCACAGGTTGCTCACTGAACAAAAAAGAGAAACGCCAACGCAGCATGAGCTTCCATAAGTGCAAATGCTTCATTTGCGAATCAGGAAGGTGGAATTTAGTACAACTAAAATTTCAAATAAAATGTATAAACACAAGTACTGCTATAGTACGGCTATGGATAATGGAAAATTCCATTATTCATTTGGAAAGGTTGTTCTACTTCACTGGATATCAGGAAAAAAAACGTTTAGTTAACTTGCTTGATAAATCCCAGTTAGCTCTTCGAGGAAAAAAAAATCTTTACGTCAAAACGTACAACAAAGCTATTAAACACAATATTTTATTAAGAATTAATGAGGCCTGTGTGCCTGTGCAGATGAGCATTGGCTTGTACTTTTCTCAAGTTTCGGATGTTTCTGAGTTGTGAGGAGACATCGTCGCTCTAAATTGATTTAAATAACTGTTTTACGCTGTAAAACATCAGATTTAATCAGTGTCTAGCTGAGAATGTACCACTGTTGTCTTATATCGTCATACAAAAGTTGTACCTAAAATACTGCATGAGTACATTTACTCAGGTTGGATAGTGCGCTTTTATTTATTTTGCTCTTTTATTGAAATAATCCACAAGTTAAATATTAGAAGTGCTTTTCAGTATAAAACAAAACTATTTAACTACACATGAACTAAATTATCGTCTCCTAAATTAGGTTATGAATAAAAAACACCTCTATAGAAGAAAATTTTGATGAAAAAATAAGCTCGTGGGCCACTTCACTGAGTACACCTTAGTGATATGAGGTTAGAATACCCTTTGCCTTTTGAATAGCCTTAATTCTTCGTGACACAGATTCAACGAAACGCCGGAAACATTCCTCAGAGATTTTGGTCTATGTTGAAATGATCACACAATTGCTGCAGATTTTGCAGCTGCACAACCCTTTATGAGAATCCCCCATTGCCACATCCCAAAGGTGCTCTATTGGATTGAGATCAGACCATTTGAGTACAGTCAACTCATTATCAGTCAGTATGAGATGATCTGGACTTTGTGACATCATGTGTAATCCTCCTGAAAACAGCCATCAGAAGATGGACACACTGTGATCATACTGAAGACCGACCGATATATCGGCACTGCTGATATTATGAGTTATGTTATGAGTGGTAATGTTATCAGTTTTCATGTTGCATAGTTTGTCCACCAGAGGGCACTCTTTAACGTCTCTGCTGGCACCAATGACTGTCATTGGTTGGCACAAACACGGCAGATCTAAGTAGAGTCAGGCAGAGCATGAACGAGTAATCCAGGACTTGCTTTGACAATAAAATATGATTATTTTTAAACTGAATTGGAAGGACTCATAAATAACATAACAGATATTATGGAAATTTGTTTATATTTCATGTATCGTATTTCATGTCACCCATCAGCCCATCTAGCACCAATAACCACGCCATGTTCAAAGTCACTTGAATCACCTTTCTTCCCAATTCTGATCCTCCGTGTGAACTTCAGCAGGTTGTCTTGACCGTATCTACCTGCCATGTGATGTGTATCATATTTAACACATGGGTTTTTGTCTTATTTATGAGCTGTTGAAAAGGTGTACCAAAAAAGCATCCAGTGAGTGTATAACTGCATATAAAGTCAAAGTATTGCAAACTGATGCTTCGGTAAGATTAATATAATATCACATTTGTTTAATAATAATTACATTTATTCAGGTAGACGTTTAAATACTGTAACTGGATTTCTGGTGTATAATTGTAAAATTGTTGCATGCTAACTTTTAAGAAATAATCAATTCTACCTTTCTGCTTCTAAATAAGAAAAATCTTATAACTTTGTTATATACTTAAGGACTATGCCTTTACTTTTGCCAACACAATGGCAACTCTGGCTATATCAAATAACCTAATGTATGTCATAGCGAGCCTATTTCTTTAGAAGATCTACAAAGTCTGTGGTGCACTTTACCTGGAGCGTACATACTGATGAGCACATTGTCTACAACACTGGTTATTGCACTGAACTGTGTAACATCTTTCTACAAAAGCACATAAGATACAAACCCACATTTAAATGCACACAAAAAGGATGGAGACCGGTGAAATTGTATATTTTTATTGTTTAATTCTTTATCGTTTAAGTCGCATACAGTATAGTCTGTCATTGGTTTCTATGCTGCTAAAGTTTGTGGACGGAACATCTGTGTTTTGTCAACTCTCTGATTGATTTAATGGTTAATGAGTGAGCTGGTTGAACAAGACCTGTGATGGATCTCCTCTGACCCATGCAATGCTCTGTGAACCTTGGAACGGCTGTTTTAAAAATACACAACCATTATGGTCGTATACTGAGTAATAATGCATAAAAGGGTATGTTGGACACATCAGGAGATCTCACAGTTCATATGTAGCTACTGTGCATTAATGACCAAAGTGGATATATGAATAAAATCAGAATACATGTTAAATCAATTGTGGACCATAACATTTCCAAGTGTAGTAAATGCCAATCACATTTACCAGCCCTGCTCTTCCAGCTCATCCCGCAGTATCATCCAAAGCGTATGCTGTAAACGATAGATGAAGTGTGAAGAATACCACAGTTTTTAAATCACACTGTTTGTTAATTATGTTCAGGAAAAAGTCTCACAGACAGTTTTATGTATCTTAACTCCAGTCCGAGATATCCTTACCGTGTGCTAGTTATGCTGAATCTGCCTCTTAATCGATCCCACGTTGTTGTTTGTTTAGTTTTAAGAGGTGTGCTTCTCCTCATTAAAGTATATAAAAATAGGCATTTACTTTTTAAAAGGTAGATATGGTTATGGTTTTGTTGTTCAGCATTTGATGGCAGCAAGCATAAAGAGCACAGGTAAAAGAAAAAAAAAGGACAGGAGGTGAGACACAGCGAGACTGGGGGTTAATTAGTAAATGTATGATCACTCAGTAAGTTTCTAAAGACTTTTGCAGGTCTAAGATGATGCTTCTTTGTGAGAAACAGAAATAGGGCTTCGATTTGAATCATTAACACTAGCCACAACTCGATAATTGACAATAATAAACCCATGCCCAAACATTTAAAATGTTCTTCTTTTAATGAGCAACGTATCTTTATATCATATCTTAGTCAGCATTGAAGTGCATTGATTAAAAAGTAAGTGCAAGTACAGGTTCTGATGCATTCATTTTTACTAGAGGATTAAATTATTTGCAACGTGGCCCCAAAAAATAGTCATTCTACAGGGGCACTCTGCAAAGGAAAACCATTATAGTTGATGCTGTTTCTAACCTAAAAGATATATGCTGTTTTCCTCATTTCAAGCTTTTAAAGTTATCTCTGAGTGACAGTGTGTAGGAGCGATTTTCATCTGGCTTCTGCTGTCAGCTCACTCCAGTCCGTAAACCGCAGCATTTTTCCTCAATATCACTGCCATGCTCCCTGACTGATTTCTCAGTGGTTTCTCGGTTTCCTTTGAGGAACACAGAGACTGAATCAAGCCAGCAGAAGCACAAAGTCTGTGAGAAGCACTATTTTAGTGCAATAGTTTCACACTTGGTAACTCTGCTACCTAAAACTGGCTACCTCTGCATAGAGATGGAGAAGAGTTCTTATCACAGCCCCATCGATAGGCCTTTTAGTTGTTACTGAGGGAAGCGCCATTATTTTTATGTCACCAGAGCAAGGATAACAACATCTTTTGAGGTAATAAAAAAATAAATAACAGCATGAAGTTATCCATTAAAATGTATTGTCCCCAGTATCTTGGATTCTGTCATCAGAATTTGGATAATACTTATTGAAACCATAAGGCTTTACGATAAATGCAACTTGGCCATATGATGGCAAAAGTCTCCAGTGGAGGCGTTCCCCCTGGACTCTAGCTGCTCTCGGAGGAGGTGGGCGGTGCCGTGGAGGACGACCTCCGCCGGGACACTGACTGTGAGCGCTCAGGGCTGTGTTTGTCATAAGGCTGGAGCTGCACCTCCAGGAAGTCCCTGTGCTGCTGGCTGATGACCTGGCTGATGAGTCCGGGCAAAGCTTGCAAGTTACTCAGTAGAGTCTCCAGCTTCGTCTCCAGCAGGGCAATCCTTTTCTCCATGTCCTCCCCTCTCTCATTCAGGTCTGATACCATGTCATACATGATGTTCTGAGTCTGGAATAGGAGAGATAAAACAAGCTTATTGTTAACATTTTCAAACCGACGTTACTTTTGATGGACCACCAGAAAATTTATTATACATTAAAAAAAATAGGGAAAATGCATTTTCATCACATCAAGATGCACTGATAGTTCTGAAAAGAGAAGAAAGAAAACTGGTTACAAGAGGCTACGAGTGCTAAAGATTCACTGTTCAAACACATCAAAGTCAAAGTAAAGAATGACTTTAAAATAATAAACTGATGTATATCTATTTGTACGTCTGTCTGAAAACAATACTCACATTCTGCCTGCAATTTCAATGTCAGAAATCGTGAATAAACATCAATGGCGCTATGCTGTGTAAAAGTGCAATAAAAGTTCAGCTAATATGATGCTTCCACAGTCTGAGTCAGATCTATAAAGCTCACAGTTTCAGATGTTACAGGCTTTTTTCACTGTATTGCACAATATTTGCTTGCTAAACCAAGATAGAAGGAAGAAAAAACTCACCATCACATTCAAAGTATTTTAGGATTTCATGTTTCTCTTAAATGACAACAAAAAATGTTCATGACTGAGTGCAGTAATGACTCGGATACACTCAACAGCCACTTTGTTAGGTACACCTGCTCCACTGCTTGTTAATGCAAACTTCTAATCAGCCAGACTGCTTTGAGTTGATAGGATGGCAACGGGAAGTCAAACAACTCCTCGTTACAGCTAAGGTATGCAGAAGAGCATCTCTGAATGAACAACATATTGATGAGCTACAGCAGAAGACCACACTGGTTGCCACTTCTGTCAGCTAAGAACAGGAAACGGAGCT